ATTTACGTTTAAAGTGATCATTGATAGATATGTAGTTTATTGTCATTTTATTGTTTATACTTTTTATCCTTTTTGTTCTTCTTTTTAAAGAACTCCCTTTAACATTTTTTGTAATACTGGTTTGGTGTTTGTGAACTCCTTTAGCTTTTCTTGTCTTGGAAGCTCTTTATTTCTCCTTCAATTCTAAATGATAGTCTTTCTGGGTAATCTTCCTTATACGTTCTTGCTTTCATCACTTTTGTCACTTGTGGCCTGCTAAGTTTCTATTGAGAAATCAGTTAGTAGTCTTCTGGAAACTGCACTGTAATAACTAGCTGCTTTTTTTTTTTTTTTAAATATATCTTTATTGATTCAGAGAGAGGAAAGGAGAGGGAGAGGGAGAGAGAGAGAGAGAGAAACATCAATTATGAGAGAGTCATTGATCGGCTGCTTCCTGCATGCTTCTGACTGGGGATCAAGCCTGCAACCCGGGCATGTGCCCTGACCGGGAATTGAACCCGTCACCCAGATCCTAGGTCAATGCTCAACCGCTGAGCCACGCCCAGCCGGGCTAGCTGCTTTTAAGATCCTCCCTTTGCCCTGGCCGGGTAGATCAGTTAGTTGGAGCATCATCCTATACACCAAAAGGTTGCTGGTTCGATTCCTGGTCAAGGCAATATACCTCGGTTGTGAGTTTGAGTCCCAGTTGGGGCTCCTACAGGAGGCAACCAATTGATGTTTCTCTCCCACATCACTGTTTTTCTGTCTCTCTCTTCTCCTTCCTGGCACTCTAATATCAATAACAACATATCCTCAGGTGAGGATTAAAGAAAAAGTAGATTCTTTGTCTTTAATCTTTGGCATTTTAATTATGTTGTGTCTTGATGTGTGCCTCTTTGAGTTCATTTTGTTTGGGACTGTCTGCATTTCCTGGGCTTATATTTCTATTTCCTTCACCAGATTAGGGAAGTTTCCATCGTTATTTCTTCAAATAGGTTTTCATTCCCTTGTTCTCTATCTTCTGGTTACCATATGGTATGAACGTTGCTATGCTTTATATTGCCTTAAACTATTCTTGTGTGTGTTTATTATTTATTTATTTATTTATTGGTTAATTCTTGCATGGTGATATTTTTTCCATTGATTTTTAGAGAGAGTGGAAGGGAGGGAGGGAGGGGGGGAGAGAGAGAGAGAGAAACATCAATGCGAGAGAGACACATCGATTGGTTGCCTCCCACACGTGTCCCTGACCGGGGCTGGGGAATCAAGCCTGCATCCCAGGTGCGTGCCCTTGACTGGAAAATGAAACCTGAGACCCTTCAGTGTGCCGGCTGACACTCTAACCCCTGAGCCACACTGGCCAGGGCTGTGAGGTTTTTTTAAATAATTTTTTTCTATTTGCTCTTCTGATTGTATGTTTTCTGCTACCTTGAGTTAAGTTGCTGATATGATCCTTTGCTTCATCAAATCTGCAATTCACTCCATCTAATGTATGCTCATTTCAGTTATTGTAGTCTTCAATTCTGACTGGTTCTTTATGTTTCCTATCTCTTTGCTAAAGTTCTCACTGAGTTCATCTAACCTTTTTCTTAAGTTCATTGAGCATCCTCAAAACCAAAAAACAAAACAAAACCAGTGTTTTGAACTCTGCATCTGGTATGTTCCTTGTCTCCATTTCATTTGGTTCTTTTTCTGGAGTTTTGTCTGGTTCTTTCCTTTGTGACATGTTTCTTTGTCTCCTCATTTTGGCTGCTTCCCTGTGTTTGTTTCTGCATATTTGGTAGATCTTCTGTGTGTCCTAGTTTTGGTAGAGTGGCCTTATATAGTAGATGCTTTGTGGGGCCCAATAGCACAGTCTTCCTTGTCACCTTAGCTGGATACTCCAGGGGTGTTTCTTGCATGGGCTGTTTGTGCCCTTCTGTTGTAGGTGAGCTGTGATTATTGTTGCAATGTCAGCGGGTGGGATTGACCTCTCAGGCTGTCTGGCTGTGATTCAGCTGATGAGCTGCTGTGTAGGGGCTGACTCCAAGGATGGGGACTTGCTGTAACAGTCCTTTGGTGCCTGTCTAGTTCTCTCTTTGTGTCATTTGTGGAGTTGACTAGATGATGCTCTAGTGTGGTCTGAAGCCAGCCAATGGGTGTGTTGGTTCTGGGGCCTTTTGGGAGGTGCTCCAGTGCTGGCCAAGGCTAGTCGATTTTGTGTAACTACAGCCAAAAGAGGCTATGGCCTATTGCAAGTTGGGTGGGCGCGGTCTCATGGAATCATTAGGGCATGGGCCAGCTGCATTACCCAAGTTACTGGTTGTTCAGATTTGGTGCCCACCTGTGCCTGCTGTCTGGGTGGGGATGCGGCTCAACAAAGGAACAGTGTGTCCTGTGAGCACTTTAGCCTGCACCGTGGGGCTGGGTGTTGGAGGACTCAGCACAAGCACAGTGGTGTCTGCCAGCACTGCAGCTCTTGCCCTGGAGCCAAACAACTCAGTTCCTCCTCATATGTCCCTGGCACCTTTTTAGCTGCTGCCCCAGTGCTGGAACTCAGAGCGAGTGACTAGTCCATCAGCCAGTAAGTCATGTGCAGACCCTTTAAGAATGCCTGGGACTCCAGCAGCCTCTGTTCCACTCAGCCACTATCTCCATTGGTTTTTACAGCCAGAAGTTATGGGGACTTGTCTTCCTGGCATTTGGGTCTCTGGACTAGGGGAGCCCAGTGTGGGACTGTGATCCCTCGCTCCTCTGGGAACCTCCACAGCCAAAATACCCCTCCCCATGTTTAACTTCCACACATGGTGTTAGACCAGCCTGTTCTGCATCTCTGCTCTTCCTGCCAGTCTCAGTGTGGGACTTCTGTTTAGCTAGTCTTCAGGCAGTTCTCAGTGTTGGTGGTTCTACAGTTTAGTTGTAATTTTGAAACCCTCATGGGGAGATGAACACAGTGTTATCTATGTCGCTGTCGTGGAAAAGCGCATGCATAAACTTAGTTGTGTCATGCAGCTCCTTAGCTAAAATAGGGTGGGAAAATACTGCCCTTGTTCTTTCTGGAGCTCCAGGCCTTATCTCTTTTTCAGCTTCATCTTGTATCCTTTTAAAATTTCCATTTAACTTAATCATCTTTCATTTAAAGTGTGTTGTTATTCCCTGGCATTCCTCTTTAATACTTTATTCTTATAATGAGTGAAATACCTTCTTTCCTTTTTCTGAACATAGTATTTCTAGATTTTCTTCTATTCTCTATATTTTCTGTTTTCTCCAAATTGCTCTTTTATTGTTTGTTTGATATCATCTCTCCTTTCATGTTAAAGGTGGGTTAGTACTTGTCTGGTGGTTCTTAGGTTTCCAGTCATATTTAAGGGTGGAGCCATAGGTCCAAAAAGCTCACTAGAAATTTGGTGTGGTGTGGTGGGGTTTGTCAGGTGGGACTTGCTGTTTCTGCAGAGGACCTGCAAATGTCACTGCCTATGTGTATATCTTTCCTTCAAGGCTGGCTAGTTTTCCCAGAGAGGTAGGCCCTCCAGCCTTTTAGCCTTTTTCTTAAAAGACAGATGTGGAGAACAAACTGACTTCCAGTCCTCTAGAAATTAGCTGGGGAGAGGGGTTCCACTATGTAGTGGGCACTGTTATCCTCCCCCATCTCCCTGTGGCTGCAGGAATGTTGCTGCCTGACACCCGTTAGCTGTAAGCTCTCTCCAGGAATAGCCTGGCGGAAGAGAGCCACCCCAAATAAAGCTCTAGCCCCTTTCCACAACAGCCAGAGGTCCAATCCCTGGTCAGCAAGAAGGTGTAAAGGCCCAGCCAATGATGGCTCCAGTTCCAGACAAGCCTGAAGGGCCATCCCAGTTTGCAATCTCTGTGGGACTGGCCAAGGAGTTCTTTAAAAATAAATTGTAGCCCAACTTTTCCCTGTGCGCAATTCTGCTTCCTTCCTTTTTTCCTTGTCTTCCACAGGTGTTGATTCCACAGAACTCACTAAAAAACTTCCGATATGCTTATGTCCATCTCAGAGTCGACGTCCTAAAGATGTTATCCTTCCTAGCCTGCTTCCTAGAGGCACACTGTATAGCAGTCACACTTTGATTAATGCTGTTTCAGTGTGGCACCTGCCCTCTCCTCCTCACACCCCACCCACGGACCAAGCTGGCTGTCCCTGGTGTACCCCAGGCCAGAGCAGCCCTGCAGCCCTGTTGACCTCTCTAAAAACACAAACTGCAGCTCTTGTGCTGAGGGGGAAGATGAGTAATCACATTCTAACTGCTGATGATTTAGAATTTTCAACTGAAAGCCTGTGAAATTTCACCCAACACTGTAGCATGAAAATGTACCTGGAGGCCGTAATTCCTGAGCTTTTACAGACTTCCACAGTACAGATCAGTTTGTTTCTTGTTAACTTCCCACACTGGAGGCCTAGGGTGCCGTATATTTCTGTCAAATCAGTTAACACATAATCCATCCAGTTTTCAGTTTCTAGTCCTTTGTTACCAACTTATGTGCTGTCAGAGTCTCCGTTTCTCTCCTCATCTGTCTTCCCAGGCATATGCCCATGCTTGTGCTTTACTGTTCTTTTAGTGGGTGGGAAAGGAACAGAAATAAGTACATGTTCAATCTGCACTTTATATAAAAGAAGCAACAGAGTTTTGAGGAATATCAGAGAAAACTTCTAATATATTTTAATTTGTTCTATTGTGGAGTGCTCTAAATTTGTTGTAAAAATTAGAAAAATCAACCTGTAGATATATTATTTTTGTCCATTATGTTCTAAGGGGGATGAAGTCAGTAATTGAAATTTATATGTAAATGAAGTTTATTATCGTTTATAAATTGAATCTGTTCTTCAGCTCTGGTGAGGTTTTTGAGGGCATGTAAATACTTGCAAATATTTTAGTTTCTATCTCTTATTAATACTTTGTGTATAATAATCAGTCCTCAATATATAGCCCCCGAGAATCCAAAATTATTTGATAGGAAGTGTATATGAAGTTAGCCATGTATATTTTTTAAAGCAATATTTTATTTGTTTGTTTGGCTAGAGCTCCAGAACTATTTAGTTATATAGCCAAAAATAGCCAAGAGGATGTGTTCTATGAAGACGACGTTTGGCCGGGAGAAAGTGAGAATGGGTAAGCAAAACTTGTAGCATTTGTTGCCTCATAGTTCCAGCGAGAGTCAGTAAGTGGTACTTTATCAAGAATTTACAGTACTTTTGGGGAGAGGGTTTTGTATTGTTTTGGCTTTATGATCTCAATATAATTTTTTATTTAATTTATATCAAAGTACTTTTAAACTAATTTTGTGATTTTTAGAAAATTACTGAGAATTTACATGTTCATGTTTATATTAGATTTAGAATTAGTCCCAGTTAAGTGCAGTGATTAATTATTAATTATATATTTGATGTCTTTTATACTTTACAGCCCTCAGAAGGTTTACGTCAGGCCTTTTATATAAGCCCTTACAAAGTCTTAATCAATGTGAAACAATTATTGTTTTTAATGTAGTGCCGAGAAAGTTCAAGAAATTATTACCTGGCTAAAGGGACATCCTGTGAGCACATTGTCTCGCTCTTCCTGTGATTTACAAATTCTGGATGCAGCTATTGTAGAAAAAATTGAGGAAGAAGTCGGAAAGTACAAGGTACTAATTTTCAGTAACCAAGACATTGATGAGATTTGAAGTCAAATGAACTATATATTATTCTACCAATAACTTGTTTATGTTTCAACCAAATAAAACATTATTCAGTGGTTTCTAATTTATGTAAAATAACCCTATAATTTAAAGAAATGTTCCAGCTATTTCCAGTGGCCATTAATAAGTTTATATGAATAAATGTAAATGCACTTTAATGTACAAAAGCTATAGCATTTGAATTTTATGTCCTGTACTGTTTCTAATTTTAGGAATTAATATTTAGTGGTTTTAGTAAAAATAGAAAGTTTGTGATTGGAGATAAGATTAATCCCTATTCCTTCCTATTCTAAGTTCTTTAAAGACATAGTTCATCTTTTTATAGAACGTAAAAATTTTAACTTCTACAGAATTAGTTCTAAGTGTACTTTCCCACTCACAAACTCATTCAGTTACCGAGTATTTTGTATAGGCCTAACTATTTCAACTATTTTGATCCCCCGTCTTGATGTAATAGAAAATGAATTGATTATATTCTTTTTTTTTAACTTCTGATTTTGTTTTCCACACATTTTCTTTGTTATAAGAATGATGTTGCTTTGCTAACACATAGCTCTAATAGTATAGTAAATTAAGAACTGGGTTCTGAAGCTGCCTTCCCCATTCCTCTCAGTACTTATAACCTTAGGCAAGATACATGACCTTTCCATGGCTTTGTTCCTTCATTGGTGAAATGAGAATAAAATAGTACCTACTTCATAGGGCCATCAAAAGGTTTAACTGAGTTGATGCATGTAAAACTCTTCTAGCAATGCCTAGCTATTATTAATGCCTAATGATGCGTGGGTATTATTGTTATTATTTGAGTTCTCTTATCACTTACTCAACAGCTGTGAATATAGTCTGGGAAGTCACCTCTAGTTGACTATCTCTTTAGGAAAAAATACAAGGCTCAGAGCTGAGAGTTTGATTTTTTAAAAAGGTCGCTGATGTTCAGCTGACGATAGTAAGCCTGCATTTCTTTTTCTTTTTGCTTTTCTTTTCTGTTGTCTTTCAATGTAGAGTTGTTTTTGAAATGAGTTTTCTACTTAACAGAAGTTTATAACTTTAAGCCCCAAATTTTACTTTAACACATTTGGATGAAGAACTTTCTAAAGTGTTTTACATATTTACCCCTTATTTTATAAACAGAAGATACATACACAGAGTTGTAGTCTGTTTTGGTTATAACATTTTTAAAAATATGTGCTTATAGATAAGAGGAAGTTTTTTAAAAACCTATTAATGTGTCAAGGAGGTAGAGTTATGTGTGATTATTTTCTTTTAGTTTTATAAAGAAAAGGAGAAAAAAACTAAAAAACACGACTTGCTAAACATAATTTATACTTTATAATGCAGGATTATCATTAAAAGTATCAGTAGTTTTCTTATTGGACAGTGATTCCCAGACTCAGCAATTATCAAAATTATTGGAAGAGCTTTTTTAAAAACACCCATTCTGGATTCCACCCCTAGAGCAGTACTTCTCAAATTAATGTGCAAATAGTCACTGGAAGGTCTTGTTGAAACATGGGTTCTGATTCAGTAGCCTTAGGGTTAGGTCTGAGACTCTGCATTTCTAACCAGCTTGCAGGTGACCACATTTTGAGTAGCCAGGCCCCAGAACTTCTCACTCAGTAGTTGTGGGTTAGGGCTTATTGTGACAGTTCCCCAGTTTATTAATTTGCCTGATGAATCAGGTTGAATTGCCATGTCCTCTGATCAGTGCTATAATGTAATCATGCCTAGGGATATATTAGATCACATGGGGGTTTTTTATACACAATTCTCCAGACCTAGTTCTTGGGTCTGCTTTTTAAAATCTTTATTCTTTCTCCTTTTTGCTGTTGTGAGTGGATACCAGTTTGTTTTATTAGTCCTCCTAGCCTGGAAGCATAGGCAACATGTCAGTAAGGCCTTCGCTTTTCATCCTATTTAAAATTGCAACCTCTCCCCATGCTGCTGATCTCTGTTACCTGCTTTATTTTTCACTATGCTTTCTACCTTTGGACACCTTACACACTTTTCTTATCTTGTTTTTCTTGTTTCTCTCTCAACTGGAATAAAAGAACAGGTCGCTGTTATATCCCCATGGAACTCAGTCAAATTTATTGAAAGAATAAATAAAATGTCTCTGTAATAAAAGAAAATAGGCTCTATGTAAATGCTGAGCGTTTTACAGTGTGTAAAACATGACCTCTGTAGTGTAGGCTCTCTGTAGCTATGTCCTTTTGTACTTATTTCCATAAGCTGTGTTCTAAAGATAGGTGACTGCCCTATAAGTAAACTGCTGCCATTTTTCTTATAAGTAAGAATTCACTTCAGAAAAATGTAATGTGAACGGTAGTATGGATTGCAATGGGTATAAATTCTCACATTTTTATTATGTAGAGCAGGTAATATTATTTCTATCTCGTAGATGGAAGAAAACTGAGGCTCAAGTTAAGTGTGAGTTGAAAGAACTAACAAGTAGCAAAGAAAGTACAAAAGCCTTCTTCCATCCCTGGCCAGGTTGCTCGATTAGCTGGAGCATCATCCCATACACCAGACGGGGGGTGGGGGGTGGGGGCAACCAACAGATGTCTGTCTCTCCCTCCCCCATTCCTCTCTCTGAAATCAATAAAATATGTGTGTGTGTGTGTGTGTGTGTGTATAGTTTTTTTTAAAAAAGTCTTCCAGCATTTTTTAGATCAGAAAATTCAAACACCAAAGCCAGTTTCATAGTAGATTTCAAAAGCAAGGATTTTATTAAATGAGTGCCACCTTTTTATAAGTAGCCACAAAACCACAATATGTCATAGATCAATGCTTTATATCTTTTTTTTAAAAAGTCTTTGTTGACCATTGTATATATTCCTTTTAGAGTAAAAGCATTGGAATGGGATAGCATTTACATAAAGTTCACAACAGACTAATCGTTTGTGTTAGAAGTAAGGTTACTTTTGGGAAAAGGTAGTAACTGGGAGGGAAGGGAATACAAGGGTTTTTATGTTGTGCTTAGTAGTGTCCTGCCTCTCTTGAACTAGGTGTGGTTATACATAGATATGCTTATACTATAAAAATTCATCAGGCTGCCCTGGCCAGTTTGCTCAATGGTTAGAGCCTCAGCCCACGGACTAAAGGGTCTCAGGTTCAGTTTCAGTCAAGGGGCGAGTGCAGGAGGCAGCCAGTCGATGTGTCTCTCTCACATCGACCTTTCTCTCTGTGTGTCTCATCCTCCCTCTGCTCTCTAAAACATCAGTGGAAAAAATATCCTTGGGTTAGGATTCACAACAACAAATTCATCAGGCTGTACACTTATAATTTTGCATTTTTCTATATGTCTTATACTTCAAAAATTTTACTGTAAGAATTTATTATTTCACCTTGCTGCATCTGAAGAACTTCATATATAAATATTTAATTGTTTTTATTTCCTCAGCAAAGAAAGAATAGTAAGAAGGTGCGAGTGACAGTGAAGCCCCATTTGCTATACAGAGTAAGTTTCCTGTTAAAGAATTCAAAGTTTTTACTTTGAAAGTGTAGAAGAAACAAAATGTTTTCAATATATTACTAGAGAATTTTAAATTAGAGTTAATAATAATAATACAGCTTTCTCCTTCCAGCCTTTGCAGCAGCAGCACGGAGTCACTCCTGACCGGGATGCAGAGTTCCGGCTCTTCGACCGCGTTGTGAATGTGAGGGAGGACTTCTCGGTGCCCGTAGGCCTTCGGGGCACCATCATAGGAATTAAAGGAGGTAATGCCTCAGCACTTGTGGAGTAAAACACAAATTTCTGTGTCACATCTAAGCAGAGAATGACTATAAGTTAGGAAAAAACTAAATCCTTTTATGCTTCAGTTAATTTGGGGGTGGTTACTTTTCAGAGAAAATTCTTCTCTGTCTTGCGTAACTATCTAGGAAGTGATTAAAAGAAGAGGAGTTGAGTAAAGACTGCTGAATATTTGGTAGCTTATATATAGGACATTAAAATTATACAAGACCTTGGTGGGTATGCACATATTTTTATGAAACTGAGCAAAGTGTTTCATCATTTCTCCTTAAGTTAGTCTTTCATCTAATTTTTCTCAGAAGTATACCTTGTCATTGTAATCCCTTGATTTCTGTGGAGAAATAAACATGAAGTATGAGCTTATTTACAGTTAAAAATTCTTAATTAACCAAAGAACTTATATGCATATGTGCATAACCCATGGGCGCAGACAATAATGAGGTGAGGGAGGGCCTGGGGG